CATTTTGAGAAAAACTTTTTGTAAACAGCGCTTTTATTGTAAGGATGCAAATAATTTGGGGATTTCTTAAAGATTGTGTTTTCTTATCAATCCGTTTCTTTTTGATGAGAATCCAATATATTTGGTGGCAACTTTAGAACCGGCATGATACTAGTTAGTCAATCATAATAAAGTAGCTGAGTTACCTTATTCAAATTATCCACCGAATCCAGGATGGTAGGAGTACTTAGTCGGACTAATTGTTCCAAAGTACATGGTACCGAGCACCCTGGTACGAATAGTTCATAGATATTTTCTGTCTCGTTCTTATAAAGAATCTGAAGTTATGATAACTGTTTGACCGCAAAAAAAAGTTCGCGTTTTTTCTTTATTACAAGTTTTTCATATTCATCTTGTCATTACTAAAATAACATACAACGTGTTTATTCTGTTCCACTAATTATCATTACGAAAAGTTGACATATGAGCCCGCAAAGTTTGAATTATATTGGCTCTTGCTACTTCAAAATCATCTCCCATCTTACGCCTCTTTTTTAGAGAGCCAATGATTGTCCGCTAAAACTCATCCTTATGATTTACCTTCATGGTAGAAAACTTAGCTTATATATCTTAAGATTTTACTAGAGGATACAGAACAGATGACTAAGTTTGATATAAGCTTGAGATGACGGTGTTAAAGGATTCTGGACTGATATACTTATGACTGGTCAGTTTATGTATTACACCTTCATTGCTATGTAATCTTTATACTTTTTTTCGTGATTTTAACAGGAGCATTTTATTGGGAAGATAAGACCTAATCAATTGCATGACATCATAACTCTTGACATGGTGGATGTTTTTTGCAACATATTTTTTCCAAACGGCTTTTCGGAATATTTTAGCCATAAAGATTTTCAATGACCAAACAAAAAAACATGATGCGACTTCAAGTCTAACGAATGTAGTAGTAGAGGGTTCTAGAAAGGAGTCGGACTGACAACTCTCGTTGAAGAGGTAGAGATTTCATGTGGTTTGCAGGAAGATGGTTAGTATGACGAAACTTTCTTAGTTAGGAATCTGAGATGACTGAAAAAAAATAGTGAGACTAACTTTTACTATTGGTTTATTCTTGTCAGTTTTATACAGTTCCATAATTAGACATGCCGAATATGGCACCAGTAAACCGTTGCTTACTCTCAGTGCGTGCTGCACTGAATGTAATGTCGAATCATGCTGTAATTTTTGTTACAGTAAAATAAATTCGCATCACAGTGATTGATACTATGAATATGATTAAAGTAAGTGCGTTCCTGAAAGCTTTGCTATCTTTCTTTTATTCATGGCTACTAACTAATCAAATTGAACCAGGTGCATTAGTGAACATTTCTTCGTGCTAAAAAGCCGATGCAAGAAAAAACTTGGAGTTATCGGAAAGGATTTACCGCAGAATAGAGAAACATTTTAGATGCTTCTACTCTGGTTCCATTTGCGACGTTCTGAAATCGACGCAGTATATCTCCAAGCAGTAAACCACCTTTAAATCGCGCCTTTTCAAGCGTATTATACTTTAGATTTTGGCTGATGCGCTTGAATTCCGTAATTATGTCAATAGTACGCATATTATGGAATTGTGGCCATTTTTGGTAAACCCATTCCGGCTGCGGAAGTTGGTGCAATATCTAAAATTTTAACAAAATTTAATGAACTATTTTAAGCACATGGAAAAATGGTAAATGCAATCACACCGCGGTAAATGTTTTCGTTTTAAGGATTGTTTCGAACTATGAAGGAAATTTAAAAATAGGTAGCTTTCTCGGAATGTCTCGTAGGCTACAACAAGTCTACGGCCAAATATGGTAAACGATGTCTTAACATGAATTATGAATACTGAAGTATATTCATGAATACCTCTCGTTGAATATCAATCAATGCTGCTATCCGGCCAAAACTCAGTCCTTCACCGATTCCAGTCACATTTGCAAGGAGTTGAACAACGTCGGCATATTTTTGCATCATTGCATCAGCGATCACTGCTGTTTCGTTCTTCATAAGTTGATCATAACGTGAACAAGAATGAACAGTAGAATGAAGAAGCTGTAAATGCACTATTAAGCCAAATAGTTCAGCAACTCTCTCTAAAGATGGATACAAATCAATATGGTACTTAATTAAATAGCATAATGAATATTCTAGAAAAGTACAAACTGGTGCATTCCGTTCAATGCTTTCGGTATAAAAAGGAATTGGTTGCCAATGCTCATCTTTTAACCATTCCATAGTAATGTCAGCCGGGAAAAGTCCACGTAACATAGCTTGAGCACTTACAATTGCTCGTTCTGATCTGGATGACAAGATCCGTATCTGAAATTGCCATCATCATCTGATGATTATTTCAGATTTAATCGTAAGAAAGGTTAAATGCGATAATTATCTATAGCAGATCATTTTCTTCACTAATAATTTCTAGAATGTTTGAAGTGCTATTGTCACAAAGTGATCGTATGCTCATTGCATTAAGGTAATTGGATTTCAAAAAAAAGAAATAGTGAAAAGGAGTTAGTGAAATGATGCATCATAACGGGAAAATAATTACATCAGCTTGATTGAACTTTTCAATGTATCCATTATACCGTTTCCGGAAGAAAAGACCCAATTCATACAGTTGCTTCATTCCTGTCTATAGCAATTAAATCATATTAGTTAAATCATATGAAATAAACTTCATTTGTTGTATTTCAAAAGCCATTTATTTTTTTAAGCCAAAAACTTCATAAATCCAAAAATATAAAATAAATTCAAATTGTCGTTAGTTGATGACAATCGACTGGATGCAATGTTACTTAGTGTATACTAAAATGGATCGATAGGGTGGGTTCATTTTGTGTATCGATGAACTCAGATGTTTTTGAAAAACCTCAGGCAGTTTGAGGGTAGCATTATTGCCTACAAAAAATTTCTAGCATTTGTTACAAACATTGAAACGAAGTTTGAACTCCTGGAATAGTCCAATTTGTTAAGAAGTAATTTAAATTTACTATTCTCAAAACAACTTATATTTTGCTAAAACCGAAGGTACTTTTTGTTGAAGAAATATTTATTTTGTTTCAGATTTTTGCAAAAAAAATCGAATCAAACGTTTGTAAGCTGAGACCATCCTCTTGGCCAAGAGCTTTCATTATTCAGATCACTTGGGTAAGGTAACTGGTGTGGTGCGCGATCACCGTGTCGCCAGATAGTTTGTACATAAATAAGGCTTTCTTCTACCTTTACATCCGTTCTCAATACGAATGCATTACTGAACGCACAATTAAATAGAGAAAAGTGCAGTAGAAGAAATAAATGAGGTAAGGTCAACATAAAATATCTGAAAATATTAAGGATTATTGAAGTTTCACGAAATGTCCATTGCAATATTTATTTGCGAGTTACCGTGTCATAACAATACATAATCAATGGTATCATGAGTGACACAAACATCACAGTATTGTTATG